CCAGCCACATCCAGATCCCCTCCATCATGGAGGAGTTCATCATGTCTCTCTCTGTCCTCATCATCTCCCTCCTCAGTATCACACAAGTCCCCTGTGTCTGATTCCTGTAAGACAGTCAGTGGGTCAGTCATGTTACACATCTCCTCAATGTGATCCATCTTCCTGGACAGCTGGTCCTTTATTTCCAGCCCCTGGATCAGGTCAGACAATTGATGTGAGAGCCGCTCTTCCTGCCTGGAGATCTCCCTCAGGACTCTCTTCTCCAGGTCTTCCAGATGTCTCCTGAGGTCTCTGAACAGGGCAGTGACTCTCTCTGTTACACCGGCTGATTTTTCTTGTACTTTTCTCCTGCGTTCCTGCAGACTCCGGACTCTTTTCTCAGTCTCCTCTCTCTCCGTGATCAGTTTCTGAAGACCAGTTCTCAGTTTCTGTTTCTTCTTCTCAGAGGCCACATCCAGAGTCTCCACCTTGTGTCCTCGGTGTTTTCCATCAAGCCTGCAGGACACACAGATACAAGTGGCATCCACAAGACAGAAATATTCCAGAATCTTCCTATGGACGGAGCATTTTCTCTTCTCCATGGAAGTGGTGGGTTCAGTTAAGACGTGTACTGGTGACTTGCTGTGGACTCTCAGGTGATCATCACACAGAGAAGCTTCACAATGCAGACAGGACTTAACAGCAGGTACAGGAGAGTGAATACAGTAAGTACAGAAGATCCCAGTTGTCTTCTTCTCCTGATCTGGCTCAATAGACCGGAAAGTCTCCGCTATGTTGCGCAGTGTTATGTTCCTGTGCAGTACAGGCCGATCCTGAAACTCTGCTCTGCACTCAGGACAGAAATAACCTCCAGACCTGTCCTGTGTATCCAACACATTATCAATACAGACCCGGCAGAAGTTGTGTCCACATCTCAGCATTACAGGATCTGTATAAGTGCTCAGACAGATGGAACAGTCCAACTCCTGTTTCAGATCAGCAGACGCCATTATTGACAGCAGAAGAGAGAAATGAAACTCAGAGAACAGAGGTCAATTCACATTCTTCCGTATAGGGAGGGGTGAGCTAATCTCTCAGCTTTTATCTAAGGTGGCACTATAATCAGGCAAATTAGGCAGCCACCTCAGCCGACGCTGGGGCCTCATGGCTGCCTAATTTGCCTAAGTAGAGAGTTACCCAAGGCTAGCGGTGTTAGGATCGCAGGGGGATGCGGGAACCTGTGAACCATGAAGGAGGTGCAGAAAACCTAACAGAAAATGCAGTACCTTCTCCGGTCGCAGATTTAGCAATATACAGTATATGAATTTGCTACAGGAGAGGGTGAAGACTGGTACAGGGGGTCCTGTAACTGGTGGTGTTCTGCAGTGCTGTATAATGTATTGCAGGGATTTGCACTCCTCTTTAGCTGATGGTATTCTGCATTGCTGTATGATGTATTGCTGAGATGTGTAGTCCTCTATAGCTAGTGGTATTCTACATTGCTGTCTAATGTATTGCTGGGATTTTTACTCCTCTATAGTTGGTGCTATTATTCTGCAATGCTGTATAATGCATTGCTGGGATTTATAGTCTTCTATAGCTGGCAGTATTTTGCATTGCTGTATAATGTATTGCTGGGATTTGTAGTCCTCTATAGCTGATGGTATTATTCTGCATTGCTGTATAATGTATTGCTGGGATTTGTAGTCTTTTATTCAATGGTGGAATCACCAGGGTCACAGCAGTCGCAGCTGCAACCAGGCCCTAGCATTTCGAGGGGGCCCTGGTAACCACTGGCATTGCCAGTTACTGAGCCCCCCTTCTTCAGTCTGGGGCCCTGCATCCTGCACACTGCACCAGAACCATGTGCATCACAAAGCTCCACCGCAATAAAACACAGTAATGTGCAGTGTGGATGACAGACCCATTTTAATGACAGTAATGTGACAAATGTTGTTTGTCAGAGATTCCATTCCTGCACACAAACGTGTCAGATTGTATATAAAAAAGGCACAATTGCTGTTTCATAACAAATAACTGCAATATAATGTATTATTGCAATATTCTATTCTCTAACACCTTGTCTGGCAGTGCCCCTCTCCCTGGACTCTGGCTCTGCCCCTGTCTCCCACACATGAAAAAAATACCTTATTGAAGTTGCCTGCATGTTAATTCACTATGTGAATAATACCGTGAATAGGGTAAAAAATACATTGAGGGGAATTTATAAAAATTGAGGCAGACCAAATCTGGAGCAGCTTTGTATGGCAATAATCAGCCTCTGAGCGTGCATACACTACCTCATTAGTCTGCTGCTGATCCTCCACTCTCAAATCACTGGTTAGGGGGAGGTTGGTGACCAAACTGTATTTCTTAACTGCAACAGAAGAAATTCACTTCACCTACCTGGTGGCAGAGCTGTAAGGTAAACCTTCCCGTTTTATGTATATTATGAATGAGGTATTGGTTCACCATTACTATGGGTTTGAGGTGAATTTGTGGGTTAAAAATTACTGTTACAGTGAATCTATGTGCCGATTCGCCCATGATAATTATTTTAAAACCATAATAAACTACGTGGCCTTTGAACTATGACCAGCAGACTTAGAAGGACCAATAAGGGGGATTTTGGATAAGCGACCCCCCCACTATAAAAGGGGAGCAGCTATAGTGTCAGTGTATTAGAAGCTGCTGTAGGGAAAGGATATGGAAAGCAAACATGCTGCAACAATTCTAGCTGTTCAGGCAATGAACCTCATTGGTTTGTTTCCTATTATTGCAGACACAGCCACAATAGGACGCTGATACCTTTCACCTAGACATGTACCTCAGTATTAAAAAAACCTCTCACCCAGGGAATACCCTTTTTGCATGCCCTGTTACCCTTATTTGCAGTATGGCTGTCTCCTCAAGCTTAGCTCTTGGCAGCAAATGAGGTTCCTGTATGGCTTGCTTGGAGCTTTGTTCCTGGGCTCCTGACTGAAGGATCTGGCCTATAAGGACTGGCTTAGATCTGGAGGTAGAAGCCTGAGTGGCACAAAACAAACTTTTCCAAGCTGGTCCTGAACCGAATCTAGCTGTTGGCATTCCACTTGATGGGCCAGAGAGTATTCTTCCCAGTCCCACCCATGACCTTCTAAATAAAGGCTTCAAAGCCTTCCCCAAAAGATGTTCTCCTGCGAAGAAGGTTCAACCAGGTCCTAGCCTTGAGAGCTGACCTAGGGTGTCAGCCAAATGGTCCACACAAATGCATAACAGTTCTGGTAACTACTGCAGACACCCCAGAAGATTCACAAACATCAGAATGGAGCTAGGATTCCACACTTTCTGCTTTGTCCAGACTGCCAGAATATGACATACCTCCATCAAAGTCACCACCGGCTACAGGGTAGGCCCCAGTAGGGCAATGGAAGCTTTCAACAGGCTTCCAAATCGCTTTTGCAATAGATCTTTAAAGGCCAGGACATCCTCCACTGGAACCGTAGGGATCTATTAGGGCAGGGGTGCCCACAAGGTCGATCGCGATCTACCAGTCGATCGCGTAGCGATCACTGGTAGATCGCCATGTCCTCTCCTCCCGCCGCTTTTCTGGATCCCCGCAGCGGGGATCCGAGAAGAAGTGAAGGAACCGGCGGCGGGGGAGGACGGAGCCGCAGTCAGGGCCTGCCTGCGCAGCCTACGCCCCCTCCCGCCCCTGAATGCAGGTGTTTTTTCGTTGGTAGATCTCAATGAGCTCGTCATTTGAAAAGTAGATCTCCAGACGAAAAATAGTGGGCGCCCCTGTATTAGGGCAATAAATCACCACATCTGATCTACGTGGTGATCTTTTGCAAAACTACTTCTTGAGGAACAACTCCTTTTTGAGGGAGTAAATGTTTTCTAAGTATGTTGCCAGTCTCATTCTCCACTAAGGCATGTGTGGGAAAGGTCTTAATGGGTCACCCATACTAGTGGCCTTGAGAGGATTCTGCACAGGTGGTTCCAAAGCTAGGCGTTCTCTGAACTCCTCAATGAGCATCACAAAGGTGTCATACATCTTTGCAACATCTTTGGCAGAGGATACATCCATATCAGTTAAGGTACACATCTCCAAATCAATGCCCTCTTCCTCCTTATCATCTGGTGTAAAGGCCATAGCCATAGCTGCATCTGAAACTGACTCTGGAGGAAATTAAAAAGGGGGATTATGCCTGCACCCTCTGCAGCTAGCCTCAGCCATTAAGGTGGACAACTAATCCATAACGCAGACACAGTGGCTGCAAAGCCCAGGGCTGTAGCTACCATGGGGCAAGTGAGGCACTTGCTTCAGGTGCAGCTGAGAGGGGGCGCAGCCAGGACCGGCCCGGCTGTGCCCCCTAGCCCCTGTAGCCATGGCGAGCACAGGGCGCTATGGAAACAGAGGAGTCAGGCGGCCAACACAGACGTGGCTCATCAGGGAGAAGAGGGGCGGCAGAGGCAGCAGGGATGCGATGAGAAATAGACCGCTTCAGCCGGAGGCTCTCTCCTCACTGCTCGGCCATCCTGAAGTGACAGTGCTCCCTCCTCCCCACGCTGGCTTCAGGATGGGGGGTGGGAGGATCGGTAAATATCGGTGATATTTACCAATCCTCTGTGCAGAGAAAACACTGCAGTGATAGCTGATCCCCAGTTATGAATGAACAAGAAGTGCTTTACATCACTTCCTGTCCGTGCGCAACGTCAGGTGACATCACACATCAGTTGGGGGGGGGCACAATTCTCTGTTCTTGCCTTGGGCGCAAAAGGAGCTAGCTACGGCTCTGGCAAAGCCCTAAGGCATGAGGTACCCCGGGTGGGATAACAGAGACATTAGAGGAGGGCAGTGAGCCCAGTGGAGGGCTATCAGACAGACAATCAGGTAGAGTTCCCAGAAGGAGTGATAGAAATACTCCCTGCCTCTTAGCAGTTGTAGCTGCTAGGTAGGAATCCTAGTGGCCCCAGGTACTCACAATACCAGCACCATGGGTTAATCAAAGGTCCCTGTAGTGGTCACAGTGATCATTGCACCTCAAAAATGCACTCTGCTCGCCGATGGAACTGGATTCCAAAAACATGTACCTCCATTTCCAGGACATGATCAGAGCCTATGCTCCCTTACAAGGTGGCCACCAGCTGTAGAATCCTTAACTGATCATACCCAGACTAGTAAAGCATGCCCAGACTAGTAAAGCCTGCAGGGCTTAGCAAGATGGCCACCCCAGCCTGTACTGAGCATACGCAAGTGGGCCAGGGAGTCCCAATATGGCTGCTGACGACCCAAGAAAGGCCAAAGGTGGCAACAGAAAATACCTGCACAATAACTGACACATTTTTGGGCTCCAGGAAGCCACAAACACTGCACTTTTTGCTTGGGCCATGTGGAGGGGACATGGGGTGGCACTCAAGTGAAGTGCAGCAATTTATGAAAAATTGAAAGGGACACCACAGCCCTGTGAGCCTGACTCAGGGTACCCTAGGGGGGTGCAGGGGGGTTGTAAAGACTCACCCAGCAGGCAATACACGGAGAGGAGGGGGAACCCCTGCTTTCACCTCGGCTTCTCTAATTTCTGGCAAGCACACACCCTCCTCCAGCAGGGGGGTCTTCAGTGACGGGGTCACGCCAGTGAAGATTCGCCACTTCCCTAGACCTGTATGGCAACCTGTGGCTAACCCAATGTGCTGCACCATGTGCCAATGTGCGTGCCTAATTAAGGTTCCAATGCCCAAAAGGTACATAACAGGGGGCGCATGCGCGCGGCGGTGCAAGATGGCTGCTTCTTGAGCCGAGAGACACCCGCATTCAGCCATAACCCTGCTTACTGGGTCGGATCCCTAGGTTGCTTGTGAACCTACTCACCCCCGGCGTCCGAATGAGATCCTCACATTTGAAATACAAGCGCGGCAACCAGCCCTCCGAGACTCCTCGCACTCGCCGCGCTCAGGGCAAGATGGCGCCCGGCGGCCTACTTGACGATGTAGCTCCCCGACTGTCGGCTGACTCGGAGGACAGTCAAGACCCATTTGCTGAGCAGAGATC